AGATTTCATCCAAATTCTCCTTGACTTTCTGTGTCACTTTATACCATTTAGCAGCTTCAATTCATTCCAAGTGCAAGATGATACATATCCACTGCCTCCATCAGAAAGATGGTGTGTGGTCATCAATGAGGTAATGCCTGTAATATATTTTGAAGCTCTAGCACAAAGACACCTTAAATACAAAACACTTTCTCAACAAATCTGAGGATTTTCACATAAAAAAGGGGTTAAAGATAGTTTACAAATGAATCTGTTAATAAACTATAACACTGACTGGTTCTTTTCCTTAGTATTTCAGAAGAGGTCGGATAAAACTTATCAACTGGTGACACAGATAATTACACTGTGATAAACGCTATGAAAATACAGAGTGCCACATGAGAACTAGGTGGGGGTTGGAGGTGTTTTCACTTGTTATCTCCTTTAATCTTAATAATACTTTTCTCAGGTTACCATCCTTTAATACTTGGGGAAATCAAGGCTTCAGATTTAACTCAGTTAATTTGTCCAAGTTCACACAACTTATTAAATGAGAGCAAAGGATACACGTTTAACTTAAAGACTATGTCAACTCTTTCAAGATTTTGCTAATATCTGCATGGCTAGATATTTGATGCTCGTTCTCCCCTTCTCAGTGACGTTTACCTTAACCACACTATCTGATAGGTCAAACTTCCTCCTTTGATTCCCTCCTGCCCGTCACCACTTTTTCTTTAGAAATACTGATCACTTTCTAAATATTAGATATTTTTAAAATTTTGCATATTGTCTGTGGTCCTCTGCTAGGTGGCAAGCTCTAGGAAGCTAAGGATCTTTGCTTGTTTACAGATGTACCCCCCAAAAATCTAAAATAGTAACTAACACCCAGTCAACATTGACCCAATTTTCCCTTACCACTTTTCACCTTTAACTGTATGTGTAAAGAACTTGCGTAACCATTCTCCCTTTTAATTCTAGGGAAAACAAAACAATCTATTTCTGAGACAAATTAACATCAAAGTAATATGTGAATTTAGTCTAAAATTCTGTTTAAAAATTAGGGTAATAACCATTAAAAAATTCTAGCCAGAACAAAAAGTGATGAAGACACATGTTAAACTGAAATGTGAAGAATGCAAATGACAAAAAGATCAATACTTAAAAGAGTGCCTGCTCACTTTCTGTGATGCTTTAGTGGCTGAATTTATGGCACAGAATGCCATAATGGGAATTAAAGTACCCTAAAGCAGTGGTTTCCAAAACTTAGGAATTTCAAAAATCAGTTAAATTTTAAAAAGATGGAGTGACAGAGTTGCCAAATTTTAATTTTGCCATAAAGGAATATTAAAAACTAAATACAATCTAATATCACTAATTCCATCAGAACACATCAACAAAAAAACAATTTCACTATGAAGGGTAGTGATTTTATTGAATAAATTTAGATTCACATATACCTCGTTATATTTAAGATCTAAATATAAAAAAGCAATACTTTAAAAAGCTGTATCAGAATCTTTACAACTTCAGGATAGAAAAGACTTCCTTTAAAGAGAAAAAGCACAATCATAAAATACAGACTAGGAGCACCTGGCTAGCTCAGTCAGTAGAGCATGCGACTCTTGGTCTTGGGGTTATGAGTTCAAGCCCCACCTGGGTGTAGAGATTACTTAAATCTTAAAAAAAAAGAAAGAAAGAAAGAAAGAAAAAATATATTTGACTTTAAAACTAAGAACTTTAAGTCATAAAAAAACACCATATTTAAAGTGAAAAGCCATGCTAAAGACTAGAAGGTATTTGTAAAGGCTACCAAGCCTTGTTATCCAGAATACATAAAAAGCATTTAGAAATCAGTAAGATAAACAATCCCATTAAAAAAAGCCAACAACAAATAAGCAATTCACAGAAAAGGAACATGAATGCCCAGAAATATAAATGAAAGTGTTCTCAATTATAAGACTAACTGGGGACATGCAAATGAAAATTCCAATGAGGTACCACACTTCACATACTCCTCAGCATGGCAAACCTTAAGAAGTCTAATAAGGTATTTGAAAGGTGGGAAAATAGATCCCCTCAACCATTACTGAAACACGTGAGAGTAAATAAGGTCAGATATTTATAAACAGGACTTAACACAAAGTATATTTGTATTGCTTTTTTTTTTAAGATTTCGTTTTTATTCATTTGAGAGAGACACAGACAGAGCACAAGCAGGGGGAGAGGCAAAGGGAGAGGGAGAGGCAGACTCCCTGCTGAGCAGGGAGCAGGATGAGGGACTCAATCCCCACCAGGGCTGAAGGCAGACACTTAACCTACTGAGCCACCTAGGCACCCTGTATTGCTTTAATATAGATGAAGATTTTAAAGAACGCAACCACTGTGTAAAGAGAGAAGATTGCATTTTTTTTTTGGTCCGAACTTTACTGAAAATAGTTATTTCAGAAACTCATTCATCAACAACAGTGCCACCATCGGTATTTGAACAGCCAATTCAACACATCTGTTTTAATTTGCATCAGTAGGGGCGCCTGAGGGCTTAGTCCGGTAAGCGTCTGCCTTTGGCTTAGGTCATGATCTCGGGGTCCTGGGATCTAGCCTGCTCAGCAAGAAGTCGGCTTCTCCCTCTCCATCTGCACAACTCCCCCCAACCTGTGCGCGCGCACTCTTGCACTCTCTAATATGAATAAATAAAATCTTAAATAATAATTTGCATCAGTAGCTTACCCTATTCATGGTGATTAACTAAACACTGGTGCAAAGTATTTGACTTGTTTCTTCCAGCAGTGCTTCTTGGATTTTAATGTGCACACAATTCACCTGGGAGTCTTCTTGAAATGCAGCATGAGTCAGTAGGGCAGGTCCTGAGGTTCTGATTTCTAACAAGCTCCCTGAATTCTGATTTTACTAGTCTACTATCACACTTGGTAGCAAGATTAGAGTGTGGTTTGGTCTGAGCATCTACACAGTGAAATACATTACTCTTAGTTCTTATATTTTAGTAGGAGCATTACTTTAAAATACAATGTAAATTTAAGTTTTAATTTTATTATAAGTTTGTAAGTTCATTAAGTTTCAAATGAGCTGATTATTTCGAATTTCATTTTAGGGCAGAATTGGAGAAGTTATAAAATATTTCTATAAAAAATGGGATATAGGCTCAAGAACCACTGCCCTAGAGAAGTCTTGCACATGTACCTAAGTAAACATATACAAGAATATTCCCCACAGTGCTTAATAAGCAATTGGAAAAAACCAAAATGATCAACAGAAATCTGATAGTCACATAATGGAACACATACCATTATCACAGTAAAAATAAACTAGAATTACCTGAATAAACATAGATAAATCTTGGCAAATAGACTTTAGAAAGCAGGCTACAGATACAAACATATTTAAATAGTCTTAAAATAATCAAAGAAAAACTATATAATGTTCAAAGACATAAAGGCATGTAGTTATGTATAAACACATGGATAGGAAGGATGCAGTCTATTTTTTTGGTTAGTGGCTGGGAGTAGGGGAAAGAGGAAGTAGGATTTAAGAGGGGTTTTCGAAGTACAAAGGAAGCTTCATTTTGTTTTGTAGTTTTATTTCTTCAATTGAGTAATGGGTGCATGAATATTCATTATATTGTATGTTGCCAATACTTATATTGCTGTATTCTCATTTCATCTGAATTAGAAAAACTATTGGGTCCAAACAACTGTTTGGAAAACACTGCTCCAAAGCAAAGGATTCAGGACTAGAAGTCAGAAAACCCAGGTTCTACTTCTTACAAATTATGTAGCTTTAGGCAATTCAAAGAATTAACTTCTCTGGGCTTTATTTTATCTCTAAAAATGTCATAAAACATCACTTTTCCTCCCCAACTCACAAGGCTAGGGTTGAGAGGCATAATATAGAGCAATACATATATGAGAATTTTTTAACAGGGTAGGAAAGGGAGAAGTAAGTTTTGAGAATTAAGAACAAAACCTTGGATATACTAGAAATAAAATCTACCACTAAATAAACCAACCAAGCCAATTTGTCACTATTTTCCTCACCATCACTGATTCTAAGGATATTTACACCAATCTTAACATGGAGGGAATTTTGAGTTATCAATTCTTAGATGACGGCACATAGGACAGGCATTCTCCCTATTATAACTGCATTTCCTTAAGGCTAATTCTTCAAGGAATTGAAATTCATAATACCAAAATGAGAGATTTGCATCCAAAAGTACTCTTATTAATAAACTAAATCAATGTCACATAAAGTAACTGCTGGTTCTCACTGCCCTTTCTATAAAATGTGTAGGTAACACATTTTATGGGCCCTATATTACAGATGGAGAAATGGACTCAGATTGCTTGAGTTTGTAGACCAATTCAGCGACAGAACTCGGACACTAATTGCCTAGTTCTTCTGTGCTCATTAAGTTATCAAAGACTTTATTTTGCCATGATGTTTTGATAATTTTGCGACAGGAAACAAATTCTTTGTCAGATATCATTTCATACATATTTCAAAATGGGCAAAGACACTCAAGGAAACAAGCCACTTACCAACTACAGTCCTGCACAGCACGGGACAAAATTAAAACTGACTAGCCTGCTAAAAATCTAATCCTATGCTTCCCAATTAACCTTATTAATACCAGAGCAGGAGAAAAGGGAGGTCAAAATATGGGTGAGGGTGCTATTCCATTTGCTCACGGACCTCAAATAATACAGCAATTACTGCCCAACAGGCATTTTATTTCTTTTATTAAGTTGAAACATGGCTATCTCCCCTGTTCTTTAAGCCACCACCTCTACTCTAACGAAAATTAACCAACAAAAGTTTGGCAGTCCCTGGTAAGAACACTGGTAATTATGATTATTAAAATCTTGGTTACGATCAGATACTAGATATGTTACACAAATGAGTTTATGCCATCAAAGTATGAAGAGACAACCTATGGAGAAAAGTTCACTTTATTGTAAGTTTTCCTGTTAATGTAAACAGATACACGCTATTACAACATGTACCTGACTTTTTACTCAGGCTCATTAGGCAGTTCCAAATGCTGACACAAGATCTCCAAAATTCTTTTTATGTATTGGAGCCTTAAAAAAAAAAAAAAAAAAAAAATCAATGAATCATCTTGCGGATGAGGTATTATATGCATATAGATTACGAAATATATTAAGCAGAAAACACCTTTCCATAAACAGCCAAAATTTAAAGGTCACCCTCTCTGTATTCCGTTATTCATCTTTTTGCCTATCAAGCCCACCGCACGTAGACTTCTACCAAAGCATCGTTTAAGAAAAAAAAAAAAAGAACAAACCAAAAACTGTCTCTGGCATTGGCAGAAATCTCCCCAAGGATCAAAGCCGTTAACTTTTTTTTTTTTTTTTTAAAAAAAAGCGGGGTGTAAACTCTTTTTTCTTGGGGGGGGGGGGGGGGGGGGGCTTCACAACGATACACTCAAACTCGCCAGAACTTTCGTTTCAGGGTTAAGAAAAAATTCCAAACAAAACCTCTCATTTTCCAACTCAAAAGCAGTTACCGAGGAGCCCAATCTAGGGTTCGGAAACAGGTTACGATTCAAGTCGAGGCACCCAGGGAAAAAGAACCCTAAGACGGCCCTCCGGGAACACCAATCATCGGGAACGGGGCCGACTCGATCCCAGGTCGAGGCTGGCACACGCGAGGACATTCAGGAGAAAGCTCTCGGGCACCGCCAACCTCACAGGGCGCTAGGGACGAGAATGGACCTGACCCCATCTTTCTGTCCACGGGGAGAAAAGCAAAACAAGTGAAACGAGACCCTTCTGCGCCAAGAGGACCTAAGACCTTTCTCAGTCCGGCTTTCCACCGCTCTCCCGCCCCCAGACTCCCGTAACCCTTGCTCGCAGGGACTCTCCTACCTCTCCCCTTCACGGAACCACCGGAGAAGCCAAAACCAGACCCGATCCGAAGCGGCTTCCCCGCCTCTCGCCGCCGCCGAGAGGGATCCCGGTCGCCAACAACAAAGACGCCTCCCGCTCCCCTCCCCCTTCCCGGCCCGGGTTCGTCCCTCCCGCGCTGCGGCTCCGGGCCTAGCGCCCCCTCCCCGAGCCCGGCCGCAGCGCCCGGCCCGCCGCGGCCCCACGCACCTGCACCTCACGGGCCGCGGCCAAGGTGTCGGGAAGAAAGGGCCGGGAGAGAGCCTCTGCCGACGCGCTGTCCTCCACAAGGTGCGACCCACGTTGCTGCTGCTGCCGCCGCCGCCGCCGCCGCCGGACTCTGCCGGCCTGCGGGCGGGCGCGGCCAAGGAGGGGGGACGAGGGCTGCAGCCCCCGGCGCCGGGACGAGGAAGGACGGCGGCGCCCGGGGGGCCCGGCTCGCGCTCTCGAGTCTCGCTTCGCGCCGGCCCTGGTCCTCCACACGGGCTCGCGTTCTGCTGACTAACGGCCCCGGCGCGAGGCTCTGGAGCGGCCGCCGCCGTCGGCTGCTCTCGGGCCTCACGTCCCGCGCGGCCGTGGTCACAGCCGCCGCCGCCGCCACCTCCCTTTCTGGCACTGCAGACACCACCCAGACCCAGCCAGGTCTTTCTTCTCTTTAACCTTCCTTTCTTTGCTCCTCCTCAGCCTGCCACCGCGGGACTAGCTCTGGTGGCGGGAGGAAAGCTGGAAGGAAACCGAGGGGGCGAGCAAAATCCTCGCTAAGGCAGGAGTTGGTCACTGACTGGAGGAAGATGCCAAGCTGACCCGGGCTCCAGCCAGCGAGCGGGCCGGGGGAGGGACGCAGCGCAACTTAGCCGGACTTCAACCAATCACAAGCCGCCCAGCGGAGTCGGGCGCCTGGAGAGGCTGAGCTGAGTCGGCAGGAGGCGGGGATTGCGGAAAAGAAGAACCAATCAAAGCAAAGGTTCCCCGCCTCTCCGCCTTGATGGACTGCCACGTTCGGACCAATGGGGGAATTCTCGCTTCGAAGGAAGCGGGATTTAGACGCCGGGACTGAGAGAGAGGTTGCGCGGAGGGGGATGGGTCGAGACTGGGCCGCGTGGAAGAACCTTGAGGGTTTTCACGGGCCAGAGGGAGTCCTTTGACCTCCTCGATGGGTCACGTGGGCTGACGGGGGCGGGGGCGGAAAGGCTGGATAAGTTCCTTCCGGGTCAGTGACAGTGACAACTACCCCAGCCTCCGTGGGGTAGTTGCTGGCGTGTTGGTCTTCCCCGCGTCTTCCTTGTACCAGCGCGAGGTGATTGTGGTTTCCACGATGAGCTCCCAGAAAGGGAACGTGGCTCGTTCCAGGCCTCAGAGGCACCAGAATACGTTTAGCTTCAAAAATGACAAGTTTGATAAGAGTGTTCAGACCAAGGTAGGAACCTGCCTGTTGCACCGAATCTAACTCTAGGAAGGAATGGTTCAGTGAAGGGGAGAAAGGAAATGCGAGGAGTCGGGAGAGACCGATTGTGGACCGCAGCCCAGAGTTAGTTTTGGCTGCAATGCAGCCTTTTCTTAAAATGATGTTCCCACGCCCTTTCTTTGACCTGGACGTGTTATCTCCTCATAAATATATTTGGCGGTCAACATTTAACCAATTACACAGAGTGAACGGGACTCTCGTCAAAACCTAAAATGCAAATGGAGAACTGAGCTGTTGAACGATTCCCATCTGGATCACATATTTGCAGTAGGAAATGAGGATTATGGCACGAGTGTCTCTCAAAGTTTGCACCAAGGTTATGCAGCCACTATTTCTTTGTGGGAACTACAAGCCCATAGGTTTGTAGGGAGGATGTGAAGGATTAAGAGCTCTTAGCCCCAGTGTCCTCACCAACATAACTGTCTCTTTTGGAAGATTGTTTTGAGGATCAAATTATTTGGCTAATGTAAAAATTCTTGTTTTGTTGGTTACAAGTCATTTACTTCTTTAGGAGGGTTTCTGTGACCTGGAAGAAAATTCAGACTTTTGTTAGGCTAAACTAAATCACGTATGCTTTGGTCTGGATCATAATTGTCCATTAGGTGATTAATTTCTCAACATTGAATAAGAGCAAAGTAAACGGTTTATGGTAATCTGTGATCTCCTTTTTTTCCCCTCTGTCTTCACTTACCTTCCCGATATTTAATGAGCACCCTCCATGTACAAAACCCTATGTTCCTGTGTTTGCAGTGTTAAAAAGAGTAGAGCTTAAATTCTTCTGGGCCATTGGATAACAAGCAAGCACAAAGATACATAATTACAAATTACGGTAAACTCGAATGAAGTGCAAGATAGCTCAGTGAGGAAGGTTAAGGAGGGATATTTTCAACTGGGTGCTCAGAGGACCTCTCCTTTCCCTTATTTCGGCTCACATTCAGAAAGAAAACCTGCAGCAGCATTTGGGAAGACTTTCCCACGTTTGTGCTCATTAATAGGTAAACCAGGATAAAAAGCTGTACTATTCCAAATAGATGTCTGTCTTGTCCTCTGAGCTTTTGTACAAGCATTTAATTCTGATTGGTTTTCATCAGGTGGTAAAAAGCAGTTTTAATAAATGTTTAGCTACAATGTAGCTTCCTCACTTCTTGAACTTGTACTTCTTGTACTTTTCATTGTTCACTTTCTTGGTGTTCTCTAACAACCATGTCATTACCCTCTTAAATCTTTTCATGAATCTCAAATTCATTCACAGAGTTTCATTTGATAACTTTTATCATCAGTTCCTTTGCATCTTTTAAATCCTGAGGTAGTCTCATTTGTCCATTGGTAGAATGAGCAGGTGTTTTGTTATTGGAGAATCTGACCAAAACAGCAAGAAATATTTTACTGAGGGAAGATCAGGTTGATCATCTTTCTAATGGAGGAGTAATAATTGGCTCTGTTCATAGCAAATTCTTGAACTAGCTATGTGCAGCTATCTAAAGCCAAGATTTTGTCTGACCCCATCTTCATTCCTATGCTTTATACCAGAAAGCTGTTTGATTCAGTGCCATCCAACAAAGGAGTGATGAGAGTGCATGGTTCTCTAACTCTCCTTAAACGACTGTAGTGACAGGGTGCCTGGGTGGCTCAGTTGGTTAAGCGACTGCCTTCGGCTC